TTCTTTGTGTCCACTCTTCATACAGCATTGTCTATGTGCGCAAATATTGGTGTAATTTGCACCAGGGCACTCAAACTAGCTGTGGAACTGGCAGACTTTTCCCTGTTGTTGCTTGCTGAACTTACCTCCAGCAGACCCCAGAACTTTTTTCTTAACTTGTTGTGTCTTTCACACCAGTCATTCCTTCATCATTTCTTTCAGCTACTCTTTTATTAGCTTGTTTAGTAATTTCTCCCAATCCCATGTTTTCCTTGGACCTTATTCACACAGGAGATCTTTGCCAAAATTCAGTTACGTGCATCTATCTGCACTCCTCATCTGCTCCTCATATAATTGTGTGAGAGGTGACAAAGTCTCTCACTTGATGGCAGACTTGGATGAAACACTCCAGCATTACAGGTTTGTTCACTCACCTGAATGCAACCACACCAAAGCCCTTAGCACACACAAATCCTGATGATGATCTAGCTATTCACTCTGTTTTTTTCTTTTCTCCCACACCAACAAGCTACCTGCCTCTCTGTCTTTATTTAAATTACGTTAAATGTAAGAAAGGGACTACATATTACAAGTTTTATACATACTGTTGAAGTCAGTGGAGTTTTCCCATCTATTTCAGTGAACCCAACATACTGTTACAGAACTCAGAGTTCTCTGGATCCAACTTTTCCACTGGATTTTGTACACACACTGGTACCTAGAGATACTGAATACCCAAAGTCAGAATAGCAGCAGTTTATATCCACTCTGCAAAATGGGAATAGCTACATATGGAACTGAAGCTATGAAGAATCAAGCGTCCCCAGCCAGCTGCTTCAAAAACCATGAGATTAACAGCCTCAGCATCTCTCAGATCTCAGCCCCTTTCCTGGAATACCATCACCAATTGGATGATGCCTGATGAAACCTATCCCGTGAGCTAGGCTAGGAACTGAACCAAAGCTGATGTCCTTGAAACCTCAAAAGAGAGTCCCTGAGCTCATAGGATCAACTCAGCTGTGTTTGTGCATACACTCATCCCAGCCCTGCTTTGAGGGACACTGGCTCTGCAGTGAAACCCAGGTGCCCTTACCTGCCTGCCACTACTGGGTCCCAGGATGCCCACCTCCTACATGGACAGATGGATTGGACAAGCTTTGGAGGGAGCTGGTGTTAGACTCCTGTGGATTTCAGTGGGAGCTGGATGATGGCCAGGGTGAATTTCCTCTGCAACACACTCTTCCCCGCTACAGAGCTTCTTAGGCGAAGCTTATCACCATGGAATCTAAAGTACTGCTAGTACCATGAGAGGCCAGCTTTGAACACCGTCCAAAATTAGTGTCTTCCTGTAACACTAACTTCATCACATCTTCTGATTTCTTCACCTTCTTCTTTCCCCATTCTCCCATTTGCTTGTCTTTTACTCCCCAAATAGAGCGCTATGCTGGCCAATGGAAGTTACTATTGCCAACAGCAGAAGGGAAGAGTGCAAGGCAGGTTTTCCTGATGCTCTTAAATGTCACTGCATAATAAAAACATTACATATGACTACTCTCAGAAATACAGGCCCCCAACTGTACCTTCTCATGAAAGTATTACAAGAGAGGAAGGATTCTGTTCATGAGGCCAGTCTCCTTAAGATGAGATTATTTCACTGCTTGATACAGACTTGGAAACTCCCATTTTCTCACCTTCCAGGAGGAAGGTGTGGGCTCAAAGCCCACCTGGGGGAGGTATGGATGGATCCCAGCTTCATGGGACTCATTTACCACATTAGCCCCTGTGGAAGCAGCACAGAGAAGCCATCTCGTATCAGCCAAAAGGAAAGTGTACTAGGAGCTAGTTCATCATTAACCTGTGCAGCACACAATTCCACATTGCTGTACAGCTTTCTGCAATAATTTCTAACACACAGAGGCTTGATTTTCATTTTGATATGATTTATAAAACAGATTTAAAATTCCATTTTATTGCTGGAAGGTATTTGAATCAGTTGAGTTTTAATCCAACAGATAATATAAAGAACAGCTTCAGCAGCAGTGAAGTGATTTACAGGTCTAATCCAAAGTGGATACTTGCCACAAATATTTTGTAACATACAGAGAAGGAAAGAAAAAGATACTAAAGAAATGTAACCAGTAAAAGAATTCAAGCACATACGAAACAGCTATCCAACATCTCCTTAAACCATCCAATAACTAAACCTGAACCATCTTTATAACTGGAAAGTTAGCTTAAGACTGCTTAAATTGAGGTCAAATTGAATCAGATCACAGCTATTAATGAGCAGGCACAGCTCTCTGAAGCCAGAGCCACAGACAAGGGAGCCACTTTCTTGGTTGTGTTAGCCCTTGGCTTCCAACACCCAGAGACAAATCTGGTGGTAACTTCAGGCAATGATTTCTAGAGCTGGAAATACATGACATCATGGGTTTGAAATGGCTAAAGTTTAATCTCTGAGACTACTGAAGCAACAGCAGTTATCAGATGTACTGGGTAGAAGAAAGTGGTGATTTAGGAGACTATTTGTTCCCTTTAAAGTAAACATTTGTCCAGTGAGATCCTTAACAGTGGCTGGACTTAAACCCAGTGGTTTTCCAGCCAGAAGGAATAATGGGCACAGAAGCAGGGTTTTTTTCCTGGACACTTTTTGTTTGGTGGGTTTGGGGGTTTTTACAACATTGTTTTCACAGCCCCTGAATTGACAGGTTTACCTTTTTTTTAAAACATGCAAATTACTTTCCTAAAACTTGACACTATCTTGCTGCCTGGTAGGGTGAACTAAACCAACAGCTTAAATAGCTCAGCTCACACCTAATAAGCAATTTAAATAGCTTTGCTGAGCTCAAGTAGCTGTATCAAGTTTCATAGCACCATCAGTCACTGCCAAATCCATAGGCAGCACTGAAATGAACCATTAGCAATGGTCACCTCCAAGAGGAAAAGAAAAGGGGGAAAAAGAAAAGAAAAAACACTTTAAGAGCTAAGAGTACAGTCATTGTCACCTTATGTGACACCAAAATATGTCCAGGAAGCAAATCCCACCGGAATACCTGGGACAAAACATATTCTTCCAAGACAACATGCTTCACACAGACAGATCAGAACAGAAGTGCCCTTTTCACAGAAGGCAAAGCTGAAGCCTGCAGGATTTAACAGCAGCAATGGAACAGGGAGGTACGTGGGGGGGCTCTCTCATGTGCCACACGTGCTAAGCCATAGCTGCAACAACACTGTCACAAATGTACTTCCAGGTTCTCTGTATCAGGAGGATGAATGGCAAGATAATGACGTGAGACACTGGCAAAATGTAAACCCACAAAAGCCCTTGTGTGCACTCTGTACAGAGCGTATGAGGGTGTACAACCCACGCCACAGCCCTGGGAGTGAATGATGCTGGGAGACTGTTCTCACATGCACCGCGCTGAGTCTGAAATAACTTACCTGAAGTGAAACACATTAAATCGTGATACTGAGCTAGACTGGTGAATGTGTCTCCTCTACCTGTACAAGTCTGCACGACCCAGCACAGCATACGTAGCAGCACAGACACAGAGCACACAGGGCACAATCAGAGCACTCAAAAGCCCTCAAGTCCTTCACCGCTTGAACAGCTTTGGATGCAGAGCCAGAGCACTTTGAACCCAGAGCTACAGCTGACATACACAAGGGAGTGGGCGACCCCTGAAATTGTCCACTCAGTTCTCTCCAAGCCACAGCTAAACTTTTCAGCTAAACAGATCTACCAGCATGGAAACGGTTACAAATGACAACACACAAATATTTGCTTTAGAGCTGGCCAGGTGAACGACAGAGGCAAGTTTCCCTTGGGTAGATGCTTCTGACCACCCTGGACTCAGTGGGGCAGTGCTGCTCCAGACAGGTTTTGATGCTTCTTTCTCCAAACCCCATGCCAGTTTCTGGTTTATTTTCCAGTGGAAGTTTACCTAATTAAGAAGCAAATGAGCCCCTTGTAATCCTGAAGTGATACACAGAGAGATACTCATTTAGATCTTATTTCTCCCTCTGCCTCTGTACTTGTATTCAGTACTCCTGGGTATCAAATTCAGACACATGCATGGTATTTTAATCCATTATTTATCCATATGGTCTCGAATTATACCACTAACAATAACAAACAAATCTACAGTGGGAGTTTGCATAGTTGGAAGTGGCATGAGGAAGCTCAGAAACTGGAGAATGATTCCTTGCCACAGAGGGATGAGGAGATGTGAGGAAGAGGAAAGGTGTAAGAGAACATAATAGGATAAAAATAAAGCAAATTAAATGTGTAGGTTTGGAATCCCCCAAGACATTCTGGTCGAGAGGATCTCAACCCTATATATAGTTTAAGCCAAAAGCACAACGTTAACATCTGTTTGCTGAGATTCAGTTCACGAACTGCTCTAATGCCAGCATTGGGCTTTTGTCCCCTAGTTAAAGTTAGAGGATGGGAAAAACGCAGTACTCATTTTTGGACAGATCAAGATGAATTCTCCAAGATGCAATCACGTGTGATCAGAGACTTCCAGTATGTTTAAAATAAAAGACAAGGGGGGACATTTAGGCAAATTAGTGGACAACTGGCACAGTTCAGGCAAGTTTATTGCGAGCCTCCAGCAGCCGAGAGCTCTCGCTGAACCAGAGCATCACACATCTGACAATGAACTCGCCGCTCAGCCCGGCGCGCAGAGCCCACGGCTTGCCGGCGAGGGACCGGACCCCGGCCCGCAGCTGCCTTCCCCGGGCCGCGACACCCCCAGCTCTTCCCCGCTTAGTCCGGCGGGGTTTTTGCCCTCGGTAAGGTGCCGGGGGCGGTTTTCCCCCGCCGGTGGCTGGGGCGGGAGCCTCCCCGCCGCCGCTCGGAGTGGGCGATAAATGATTAATTACGTTATAAAACGCCGGGGTCGCAGAGCGCACCCGGGCGACCTGCGGAGGGGCCGGGGCGGCGAGGGGCGGGACGCGGCGCGGCGCTCACTCGGGGTCGGCGCCCACGCGTGGCCGGGGCCCTGCGGACTCACCCCATGTCGCGGCACCGTTCGGCGGCGGCACCCCCGGGCGGCTCCCCGCGCTCGGCGGCCAGCGGCGGCCGCGTCCCCACTTCGCACATGCGGCCGCCCCAGCCCCGACACCGGCTCCGGCTGGCTGCGGCTGCCCGGCTGCACGGCGGCGGCGGCGAGGCGTCCTGCTCCTCCTCCCACCGCCTCCCTCCCCCCTTACATAACCTCCTTCCCGGGCGGCGGCGGCACCGAGCAGCCTCCCGCGGCACCCACCGCCCTGCGAGGCGGTGGCACGGGGCGGGGCGGGGCGGGGCGGGGCGGCGGGCGCGCCCCCGGGGCCCCTCCGGTTCCCAGCCGGGGCCCGGGCTCGGGCTGCCGGCGGTGAGGACGGGCGTGCGGGGGTTCGAGCCCCGGAGCGGGGCGTCAGCATCGCGTGTCCCCCGTGCGCGGGGGCGCGACCTGTCGTGGGGGGACGGGGCGCGGGAAAACTTCGGGTGAAGTTGCGGGGCCGGCCCCGCCCGCTGCTGATAAACCCCAGCGGCGGGAGGGGGCAGCCCAGACCCAGAGACCGGCGGCTCCGGGAGCGGTTGCCCCGCGGCGCGGGCACGGCTGCGATCCTCCAGCGGGTCCCGAGGTGCCCTTCCCACCCCAGGCAGCGCTGCGCCGGGGGATGACTCGTGGAACACGAGCAGGCGGTTCTCTCCCACGGCTCGCCACGCTTTGAATCCGTTTTCCCAGGGAATCGACGGGAGCGAACGCAGCCCACTCATTCCCCCCCAGCGCCCCTGCCCTGCCAGTACCCGCGGAGCTTCCGATACCCCGTTTCAGCCATGTTCGGGCCACGGGCACGGGCAGCCTCAGCGCCAGAGCCCGAATGCGAGGCTCTCACCCAGCCTCCACCCAACTCAGCCCAGCGTGCTGATGCACCAGGGCTGACTCTCTTTGGTCCTCCTCAGCCCCCTCCAAATCTGTTCCAGCCATCTACCCTTCCCATAGAGGTACCACGAAAACAGAGGGATGATTCCTTCCCTCCGGAGGAAGAATTGCCCTCATCAGCTCTGTTACGGCTGCCTAACCCCGCGGGTGACACTGGTTCCTGACAGGCATCATAGGACACAAGTCCATAGGAACACCACGGCCTGCTCATTCATGTGTTTGTAGGGCCGTGCTACACAGACACAGTTCTTCTGTGGGGAAAAGACGCCCAATTCACACAGAAGAGAGGATTTTAACTTCTCCCACACAAAGTTATAATTAATACGCTGCCATCAAGAGTGATTATTTTCATCTCTTTTTAAAAAAAAAATCTCACATTGACTTCTCCTTTCTTCCAAAGAAAGTTTAGAAGTTGTGGGGAAGGTGCAATGTTTGCTTGCCTTAACTTTGTGTGTCATAACCAGGGGTGTGCTCAGTGTTACCTGGGAACCTCATGGGAACCCTCAAACCAGCAACCTAACACCTTCCAGCTCTGCACAATGAAACTGTCTCCCACTCTGACAGACAACTATTTCCTGTTGTCTGGAACACCAAAATGGAATTTCAATCCCATACACTCAAATAAAGTTTATGCCACAGGGGATAAAAAAGCAGGGTGAATTACACAGACATTTTCAAAAGGCTGTGAGATGACACTGCTCGCACGTATCTGTTCTTCTCACCATGCTCAGATGGTTAATGTGGATGCTAAAGGAGATTTAACTCCTTACCTAACCACTAATGTCTTCCCATGTCCCATTCTGCCAGCCAAATGTGAGGTTCCATTTCCTCCAGGATAGTGGAGGTGGTGACATGTAGGCATAGGTGACAATCCTGTTGTGTTCATGATGGCCCGCAGCCTGGAATATTACTTTGGTGTGATTATTCCTCTTGTCTTGCGGAAACTGCGAGGGGAAGCATTCTCTGAAGGGGAAAAATAGCAATCTAGTGGAAAAAACTCCCACCATAAATGGGGTGATTTTATTTCACTGGTTTTATACCATTTACTTAATTTTGTTAAATCACATACTCCATTCATTAGAGAAGTCTTGTCTTAGTTCTCTCCAACTAATGAGCTCATTTTGGTGAGTATCTGAAAGCTGTTTCATGAACTTGTGACTTACAAACGTCTAATGGAGTTGGATCAAAATGGAGTAATGGACTTACTACATGTGTCACAGTAAGATGAAAATTGGACATTAGAAGTGCAGTTGCCTTAGAATTTTCTAATGTTTTAATCTTTCCCAATCTTGCATTCAAGAGCGTATTTTCATCCCCAATTATGAAAAATAGCTTAAGCTTATGGAAGCATAATTGGCTGTGGAATTTGCATGATACAAAATTTTGTAGCTTGCTTTTGTTCTTAAGGTCTTCCCATTTGACTTCTGATCTTTTCAGAACTGTCTTCTAGAAGAGGCAGAGTTGTGGTCCCATTCCTCAAGGACCCTGAGATATCTGGTGTGGCAGACAGCAAGTTAACCCAGATTTCTTCTCATGTTTGGGTTTCTGCAAGTGCACTCCCTCCACCTAAAATTCCCTCTATTCTTCCAGAGAGATGTGATATTCCTCTTTCTGAAGCATGGCACACTGTTGCTGCCCTCTTATCTCTGCCAAAAAGGGGATGAAATCCTGGCCTCAATTTAAGACAAAGGTAAAAGCCCCATGGATCTGAAGGAGGCTCAGATCTCACACAGACTGTTTACCAGTACTGAATGAAGTGACTGCTCTACAGACAGTCCCATCTTGAACTCCTCCACCATCACAGAGTCCTAATTCGTGTACAGTTCCAATTGATTTACAATATTTTAGGATAATTCAGTATTCAATTTGCTCAAAGTATTTTGAGTTCCTCATAAATGAGAACTATAAATATGCTATCAAAATTAATCAGTTTTTAAGCTCTCATATGTGACATGATATTTCACTTCCGATTTGGCTCCGGTGCAGGATGTGTACATGATGGTAATTCAGTCCTCATTTAGTATTCACAAGTGTGCTCTTGTTCCTGTGGCACGGTTAGGAAGACTCAAAATACTGAAGGCACAGGATCCCTCAGTATGATTCAAGCTGAGCAATAAAAATATCCATGTTCTGTAAACGGATGTAACTTCTCTAGATGAGAAATTTCTCCTATTCCCACAGGCCTCCTAAAGATATATTTTTTTGATTCCTAGATACAGGGTGTGTATCCTTTCAGAAACCTAGCAATCAGGAGCATGTACCCAGTCTGCACTCCGAAAAGCAAAGAGCTCACTGGTCTCTTCCTCTCTCTCCACATTTCTGTTCTTTTGTTTGGCTTTCACTATTGCCGTCCTTTGCCACTCTATTTTATTTCAGATATAATTTTATTTCAGAAAACCTGCTGTTTAGTCTTTTTCAAGCCCTGGATGTGAGTACCTAGCACAGTGTTGAAGGCTGTAAAATTGTAAGAGGCTGATGGATTTCTAATAATACTGGTGTAGTCAGAGAGCATCTGTCAGCATTAATAAACCATTTGGGACACATCCTCTAGGCATCTCTGTACTTTGGTCTACTAGAAGTCCAGCCTGGAACACACCCAGGAGTGCTCGCTGAACCTTTGGAACATTTAGAAAGGTGGCCCCATACTTGGAGAAAATCTTGTTCCCTTTGACAAACATACTTCTTACAAGGCAAGACAGAAAACAGATACTCACACTTCTCCTCCTTAATGTTTTCATTCATGTAGACACTTTGATTGTGTCCACTGCACTGTAAAGTATGTTGGTCACTCTTCAGGTCACAGCTTTTCTCTGCATCTAGTGGGTCTTGCTGCTCTTCTCTGAAATTGATTTGGCAGTGGGCAGACTGGGACTCGAGCAGGTGAGGAGTGCTGCGTGTAGGAGTCTCCTTACGGCTTGTGTTTGAGTCTATGTATTTGTTTCCTCCTAAAGCCACTGGGTTTTGAGCATATATGCATGAGTGGAGATCTTCATAAAGCTGCTCACAGCAACGCACAGGTTTCCCAGCTGTTGAGCTGGATCCTGAATTGCCTCTCAAAATTGTACCAAATGTGCTCATTTTTTTCATTCCCATATGTAGTCCTTTGCATTTTATATGGTTGGGTCTTAAAGGTGATCTTAAATGTCTTTTCCAACCTAGTTGATTCTATGATTCTATATGCCACTGTAGAAGTAATCAGCTTTTTCACTCAAAGTTTATTTTTGTCATTTTTGTTTTAAATCCCCCCCAAAAAGAGAAGAAAAAAAATCCATTTTATCTGTGAGTACAGATGATGACTCTGGTTTCCTTCCAGGCTTACATCATAAAATGCCACTGATTTGTGATTTATAAAATGGAAGTTAGAGCAATCAGGCACCAGTTGCGCAGATGCGGGAGATTAGTTTTCTTTTAAACTAATTCAGATCAAATTTTTTGCTCCTGGCAGGCCAAATTGTACAGGGATATTAAAAGGGAAGAACTATGTGCCTTGCCTGTCAGAAACAGGACCCTCATATTGTGACTTGGTTGTGATGATGGTGGTGACAGCCAAGGCTACCAGTAGAGAAGCCGAAGGGAAAAGATATTCACATGTTTAAAGAAAGCTTTATTTTCAAACATGCAGAATTGCAGGACCATTCATTTCAGCAAATCGCTCTGCTAACATCTAAATTTTCTTGTAGCTCAGGAGTTTTTAATTCTCAGGCCCTTTCTACCATCTGTAACTCAATCTCTATTTTTTAAAGAAATTGCAGACATCTGTTTAAATACCCATCTCTTCCGTCACATGGAATTTTGGATTCAAAAAAATCTAAGCTCGAAAATAATACCAAAGTTGGCTTACATTTCCAAGCAACCACGGGCTGGCATTTTAAATGCTGCCTATTTAATTAGCCCATCCCGCTCTACTGGTGGCATTGTGCTCTATGGTACATGAACTATGTCTGCTGTGGGTGCAGGTCAGCGAGCTGGGCAAAGGGGATGTGCTGCCCATGCTGGGATCATGATGGGGGATAGGGAAGAGGGGAGGTGGGAAAGAAACCCCCAGGCTCACTGCAGCCATCTGTCCTGCAGCAGGAACGGGGTCTGGCCTCCAAGGGGATTGCAGGGCTGAGGGACATTGCTGAGCCTGGGACTCTGCTGTGGTCCTGTATTGTATGTAAAACCAGTCCTTCCTCTGATACTGGAGACAGCTCAAGTGGCATAAGCAAAACTGAATTTTTTTGCCCCCTCCTGACTTTCTTTAGCAGTGGGTTCAATTTCAGAGTGTGATCAGGGACATGTGGGGATGAGGGACAGGGATGGCAGGAGGAAAGTGAGGTCAAAGCAGTGGAAGCCAGGGAAAGGGATGTGGGGTGTTACTAGGGTCTGTAGTGCAGCCCGTCCTCCTTCAAGACACCCTGCCTTCCCCTTGCCCTTCTCCCAGGGTCCTGGATGTGCCAGCAGGCAGCTCTCCATCCTCCGGCTTCCTCCCCAGGGTCACTCCCCACTGCATCTTCATTCTCCCAAAAAACAGTATTCCCATACAAAATAGGGCAGAGGAAGACAGGATAGGGCCAGACCTTTCAGAGCACTCTAATTGTCCAGAGCTGCTTGCCTAGGCTGCTTGTAAGAATTCATACTTCAGACTGGTGCAAAATACGTCATTCTTTCTGTTTCTTTAGAACTTACTCATTGGTGGACTTTGCCCCTTAATCAGCTCCTTGATTGTCTTACTGTTAAAGGTAGACATTCCCTAGGTACACTGGAGGTCTGATTCATTTACATGAATGCCCAATGGCTTGATAAAGGCTTCTGTGTTTCTTTGTGGGCAGAAGTAATGAATTCCTCACTTGGATGAATTTCTCCAAGGACTGAGCAGTACAGAGAGAGTGCCAGGTGGGAATGAAGCCACAAGGGATTTCAAGCCTATTTGCAAAACCTTAGGGTTGAGGTATAGTGGTGAGCACCCCAAAGCTCTCACTAAAGCTCCTAAGGACACGAGTGGCTCTGCAGCACTAGATTTCTCTCCTCCAATTCTGGAAAATCCCTTGAGTTCAGGGAAGCCAGGCCTGGCTCAGAGATAGGTAGTTGGAAGTGCCCAGCTGTCGGTGTCTTTCACACCCATAGCTTTCTTGTGAAGGAAACTATTTGTCACCAGCCCTACTGGACGTAATTATATCACTTTCAAGTAAAGTTAAAAACCTTGACTTATACCATGTCTAGGTCCTGCTAAATGCCAATAATTAATAATAACAGTGAAGCCAGAAAGCCACAAATGATGCAGAAATTGTTTTCTTTTTACTACACTAATAATTAATGTCTGGAAAAGTAAAAAATAATTAGTTGACAAAAAACAAGAATACAGCTCTCACAAAGATGCCAGGACTCCTTTGATGGGGAAATGCATTTTAAAAGAATCTACTGGGTGCAAGATGGGTTGCATGTCTTCCCTACATAAAACTACCTCAAGGGGAGCTTCTACATTCCTAATTCCACCTACTGCAACTGTTCTGCAAGAATACTTAGATGACAAAATACATACCAATCAGCTAAACAAACACAATCAGTTTATTTTTAGCTCCATATTTGGCTTCTCAGGAAGTATTTACTGTCAAGACTCTTAAATCCAATGTACTGTAATTTTAGTTACCAGAAGTTATAAAAGCGCTTGTACCTATTGATAAACAGATTCCACTTTTCAGGGGAAATTTCATAGTCATTCTGGGGGTATATAAAATCCATGTTTTTTGAAAAATAAGAGCAAAATTTTTAGTCACTGGCAAATATTAAAAAAACAAACAAACACCAAAACTCCAAAAAAACCAGCATTTCAGGGACATGTTTGCAGACCAAGCACCTGGAGGAGCACTCTATAGATCAGGAGTGTGCTTACCTGGGCTTTGCAGAAGTACCATCAAGATGTCAGGCAGCAGCAGCCAGGATTTAATATCATACTGATGTCTTCAGCCACAGCTCAGTTAGGCCTTTGGAGCCAGGGAGAGGAGTCACAGTGCACTCTCATGGGAGATGACACCAAGCACACAGTTACAGAATTCAGTTTAACTCAATGGGACCTGGTGGAAGGTGCAGAACACTTAAAACTTCCAGAAAAGCCTTGAGCTATGTTTTGTTTTGAATTAATCTTTAGTCAATAGAGAAATATTAATATACACACATCAAAACCTTTTCTACATACTTGAGAAAATTAAATCAACACTATAAAGTATGGATGACACATATCCTCTATATTTCACTTACTGCTAATTTGCAGAAGAGCACAATTATTTTGTGAATGTACTAATATTTTTCTAAGTTTAATTTGGTGGTCTTCCTGCAGGAATAGGCTAATTTTCATCCCTACCCACCTTTATTAATATTGATTACTGTTATTCTGCTCCGCAGTGGCTGACTGAATATTCTCCCTGTGTCCAGCTGGTGAGTATGCTTTTCCCAAAATAGCCTGTGACCACTCTTTCCTATATTTGCACAAGAGATGTACTATTATTATATTTGTATGGAAGAAGTTAGATGATCCTGCAAAAATGTTTTTCAGTGATATCTCTTGTCCAACTTGTAAATTGATTACAATTTGAAATGTCACACTGGAAGTGGTATATGACAGAAGATCAAAGCAGGAAACGTTTTGCAGTCTCTTAGGAACCTGGCCAGAGTTGCTCTTTTTTAGACCCTCTGTTTGCCCAGAAGAATTAACATCTGCTCATAGAGAATAATGTGCAGCTATTGTCACTTAGTATTCAACTTTCTTCCAATATTAAAGCTGAATTATTCATAGCTTTAAGAACATGGTTTTTGAGATACTATTCCACACCAGTGGTTGCACTGGGAAAAGAGCAGAGACCAGCCCTGAAAGTGTAACAAAGAATGTTTTGAATTCACAGGACATGCAAAGCCACAAATGCTAGCCAACCAACATTACATGCTTAAGGCCACATTCAATCAACCCAAATTTCCTCATGCACAATAACGACTGTGGTGACAACTAGACTCTTGAGGAAACAGCCTTTAAAATGCATTTTCCTCTCCAGACAAAGGAATTCTCACTACACAGGCACCTTACACAAGGTAGTGCTTTGTATTTTCAGCTGCTTTTATGTGTAGGTATCTCAATAATATCCACACAGAAGCCAATCCTGGCTCCCATGATGCCAATGGAAAAAAACCTTTTGATTTCACTGGGATCATGATTTGGTCATAATTGATTAATCCTCATTCCATTCCTGTGAGACAAGGGAGGATATATAGAGATCACTTCACATACCACTGCAGCATGGTTGTTTCTGGAAAATATCAGCTGTTCCAAAACAGAGAGGAACCCAGCACGCAGTTTGGAACAGGATGCAATGGCCAACACGATCTCCATCTGGAACAATACAGGAAATGCTGATAGCCAGAGTGGCATTGCTGAAAATAGATTTTGGCCAGCACACAGGGATTAAGAGCCTTACTTTTCAAAAGGTGTGCTGGGACCTCTAATAACCATAAATAGTCAGGACTTTGTATTTGTGCCTCACTGGAAAGATGGCAGCACTTGCAGTACAGTGTTTCCTCATATCATGCTGACACATTGCTTCATTACTGGATCATCTGCAGCTTTCAACAGGACTGACGTGACTTCCGAGTCAAACAGAGACAAACAGCAAAGTCCTGACCCCACTGAAGTGGAAGTGAACAGTACTTGGAACCAATGGAACAAGGATTTCTCTCCCTGAAATAGTTTGTGAGATCTGGCAGCAACGTTTCCCATCAGATAGCAACTATGAGATCTTTGATACCTTATATAACTGCCATCCTTAAATAAAACATATATCTAGTTCATCATTTTTTCCCTGATTTAATTAGAATCTTACTTAGTTTTTTCAGGTTGGCGAAGTCTTATCTTGCAATATGTTGCAGATGCCACTGTGTGGAGATTAACGTTTGCTTTTTAATTAAAGTTTTATTTGGGAAGCTTGTGATACCCCCACACCAGCATTTAAGACCAAGAAAATAACTGTATATTATTCTTAAAATGAGCAGCCATTGCATAATATGAAACAATCACATTCAAAGTATCACCAAAAATTACTGTGTGATTTTAATTTCTCTGTGAGATTTTGGGCTTGTTTTTAAAGAGCCTCCATCAGAACTTTGCATTTTCCAAGATAGCAGTTCTATATTTCTTAACTTTAGATGGTTGAGGAGTCAGCATGTTCTTTTGCACTGGTTCCCAACCAACATTAGAAAGCAGTGTTCAGCTGAGCACTTACATGCTAAGCAGCTGGTTGCCACCAGAGCATGATTTCTGCAGGCGGTGCAGGGATGGGAAAGAAACAGCTACAGCTCAAGAAGGTGGTGGAGAGAATTGGGAGGTTAAGCAGGGCCATAGGAATAGCAGCACTGTGGAAAGGCTCCAGGAAACTGCCACAGGAGTCTGGGGCAAAGATGGAGGAGTTACAGCAGTGCTGGGGCAGGTAAGGACGCTGTCCTCAACAACCAAGGCAGACATCTTGAGGAGGGCAACAGGGGACACAGAGGGGTGGCAGCCACAGCATAATCTCCTGAAAGATTAGGAACCCTTGTATGCTGGAAAGAATGACCTCCAGTCCTAATTTAGTAACAGGAGGGAGAGTTATTCCTGCTAGGAGCAGTGGTGACCTAGACCCCCAGCCAAGGATCAGCCCCAACACAGCACAAACATAAAATGAAAAGATAGTCTTTGCCTGAAGAGCTTCCAGATTTTGTGTAGGGTGAGGAACAATGCAGGGATGCACAGGGGAGTGCACAGCAGTACCACTCAGAGGCAATGTCAGAACAAGGAGCAGACTGCTCTGGCCAGCTCTGTAAAATCCTGCAGGCTCCTCTGCAGCTCAGCTAATTCACTTACACCTCATTTCACTCTAGCACAGTGTGGTCTCAATACAGATTGGTATTTCTGGAAAATTCTGATTTACAATTAAAAAAAAAAAAACGTCCATATTAAGAGGACACTCCAAATTTGAAGTAGCACAGAGTTGGCCTATACTCCAGCCCTTGCTTTCTCTAATGGCCCTTAAGAGGAACTGCAGAGAACATTCGAGAATTCTTATGTGCAAAGAGAAGAGAAAGAAGAGAGACAAATGCCTGTGATAACTAACAGCTTCTTCGTAAAGCCATTTGGGGAGAGAGCCATATCTAATGGAGGGAGCACTACTTAGATCAATTGCACTGACCTGAGCCTTCAGAGGCAACAAAACACTGAAATACTGTTGTATATCATCGCCTTTAGCAGAACCTGAACATGTGCTTACACATGGCTTTGACACACAGAAGCAGGACAGGCATGCGTGGGACCTTGTGGCACATCTATCTGCAGGGCTGGTGGCAAGGTCAGCTTTCAAACCTGGGCCTCAGAGAGGACAAGGGAGTCCCACATAAGGAGCCTCAGGCCAATTCTCCAGAGCCTGGAGAATGTCACCATCCAGAGAAGGGAGACTCTGGGAGTTAAATGGGAAACATATCCCCTGTAGAGATTGAATGTTTGACTTTGTAGCCGAGGCACCTGACTGGCGTGCAGCAGGCAAACTGCATAAACTATCCAGCCTGGGAGAAATGCTAGACATGTGCTAAAAAGGCATAACCACTTCCTTCTGCTAGATCCTAGGTTTTGCAAGGATCTGAGTTTCTGACTTAAACATAGTAGAAATTGTTACCAGATGTGCATGTCAGGGCCGTGACTGCACTGACAGGCCTTGATTGCCACAACCAGCGCCCCTGGGGCCTCCCGCACACCCCTGCCCCAGGCACGGGGGCTCATGCAAGCTCAGCCCTGGGCCCCTGGGCCCTGCTGTTCTGGCTATGCTGGGCTCCAGATGCAGCTGTGCTGTGGCTGTGCTGTGCCTGCACATGGACCCTGTTGAACTGTGTTGAGCAGCGACCCATGGACTGAATTTCTGACTTGCCTTGGACTTGTCTCATCCCCATGAGCTTGCCTGGTCCTCCCCACCAGCCGTGCTGTTGGCTCCCCACCCCTCTCTTTTCCAAAATTCTCTAAACTGCCCTTCTGAACTCAGATAGGTGCAACTAAATTCTAACTTACAAGCTGGTGTACACACACTGCAACAGATTTGAATGGTTTAGACTGGATATGGACACGAGAAATGAACTAGAAAAGAACATAAAGAATGGATAAAACCTAGCCCTAGAAACTTCTGCAAGTACCTCCTTTATATTTTGCAACTATCTTAACAATAGGCAATCCGCGGTAGCACTGATTCATACATCCCCACTTGCAGGATTACTTGACATCTAAAAAGCATCTTGAGTTGGAGTTTAGACAGGCTGATGATTATGATGAGTTTGATATCTTAGCGTTTGGCTACTCCATTTTCTGACTTTCAAGCAGTTCCACAGAAGTACACTTTAAGTATCTGAATATTCCTCCCACTTTTTTTCCATTTGTACAGTACCTACGTCTGGGAAAGAACATAACCTGTGCGCCAGATGTGCTATGTAAAAACTTCTGCCTGCCCTACAGCCCCAGTGTGTGTGCCTCACGGGGTCTAACCCACCTCCACCCCAAATGAGGAACATATGGAACACCATGAATGGCAGAAACAAGATTTCACTTTGAACTACATTCCTCCTATCAAAGGGCCCTCTGTCTTGCCTTCTTCTTCTCCGTTCCCCTGGGTAATCATGAGGAAAGAACTGAACATTTGGAAAAGCCTCCTGGGGATGAATTCATTTCCAGTGTAACTCTGCTGAAGTTAATGGTGTTGCACCATAGATTAAAATGGCACCATAATATTAAAAACCAGAGAAGGCATACCACTCTGTAATTACTGTCTAAGAGAGCAAAAATAATAAAAATGATTCATTCTTATAGACCCCAAAGGGCACAGCTGGCTTAGGCAGTTTAAAAGGTGAAAATAAAAGAAGGCAGCCAGAATGTAGTGATTTTTAATTTGTATATATGTATATAGATATGTATAAATGACAGTCAGATAACACCACCTCTGCACTAATTTAAAGAACAATACACTAGAAATATAATTGAACGTGACTGTGAGTTTCAAAAGACTGACAACAGAAATAGCTCTTAGGAAAATTAAAGGCCTTCTTTCATAGTGGAATAAATTAAGAATAAATTCCATTTAATCAAGTGTTACACCATTGTAAGCTTAATGCAAAGGAATTGGGCCCCACAACATCAAAACTGTTATTCTTTAACACAATCAAGCACCAAGAACTGCATTTTCCCCCTTTTAAAAAAAAAGACAATGTTATTTTTTTTAGGCAGTTAACATTTAAAGGTCATTGTTACGGTAAGAAAACGGTTATTGTATTAAGTTTAGTGAAGCTGGTAGAAACAGTGCAGTCTGTTCCTTTATGGACTTCACTTTACAAAACCATATGGAGGTGTGTGAAAGACACTCTGAAGCTTAGCAATATTGTACAATATAACAGCAAAGCCAAGGCAGAGATCTGACAGAATAACGGGCTTCAGAGGCATTTGTCAGCAACAGCTGTTATATCTCAGTCTTTCCTGTTATTGAAGTGAGCTTCATCTAGGCAATAATCCTTTCCAGCCAAAGGAATAATACCTATGATGAGAACTGATTTTCCGAGCAGAGAAGGTACTGGAGAAAGAGCACAACTCCAAACATTTCTGCAGATTGGCTTAAAAGTATCTCTGCTTACCTATCAGTGCAGTGAGTGATCTCACAAATACTTTGCAGTCATTAGTTACTTAGATGTCCCCTGCTGGGCTTACAGCCTCTTGTGCCCACAGGAACTACCTTCCTTTAGTGTGTAATCAGTAACAAGGCTGCCACGCACGCCCTTTGTACCTGCTGTTAGCCAGAACCCAAAGTCTTGCTCTCTTTAGCAGTGCCAGACCCCACCATTTCCTAGAATAAATTATCTGGGGAAATCGGGTTTCCTTGTACAAACAAACCAGGCTTTCAGTTACACTGTAACTGAGACACTGCAAAAAGAATGAGGGGAGAAGGGAGCTGGATGGCAGGAAATCACTCAGCAGATTCAGAAAGCTAAGGAAAAAAAGGCAGAGTTTTGAAGATAAATTTTCACTAAAATATGATATATTATTTTGTTATTAAAAAAACCGGCAGGATCCATAACAATCTAGGGAGGCTTCTCTGTTTATTCGGTTATAGACAAATATTCCCTTGATCAAACAGGCTGCAATTACATGGGATGTTAGTTCCTTAGTTGATTTCTCAAGGTAGGTATTAACAATAAAGTAAAAGAATCCTGACTATTTAAACATATAGAAATGCACACAAAAAAATTTTTCTCTTGCTAGTGAGATACATGCTGAGTTTTCATTAAAAATGCCATAGCTGGCAACCTCTACTGAGATAGAGCAACAAACCTAGTCAGAAAGAAACGGAAAACTGCAAAAAATAAAAGATTTTTAAACAAAGAAATCTTGAATAATATTTTCCTTTTGCTTCTTGGTACAGGCTGGTTATCCTGTACAGCAGACTTACTTATTTTCTCAAGAAGTATCCATAATAGCAAGGGCTAGAAATTAGTTGTCAAATGAAAGTTGAGTATAATGAAAACACAGGAGTCCAGAAGCTGGGGATTTATGTAAAACATCACATACAAAATCTTGTGACAGAACTAGATAGTTACAAAAAGAACTGCCATTTTCCATTGTTTCAAGACTTTACTAGTTGTAGTGTGTATTCTTTTGTTCAGGCAGGAAGATCCATTCTACAAAAGCTTTATTAATTTCTGACAGGCTAAAAGGAGCAACGCTTAGTTCAAATTTTAGAGGATAAGACTTCATCTAACAGCTTGTTATTTAACATAATGAAATCCACAGAAGAAAAAGCAAACTCTTTGAGGCTTTATCACACTACAGTAGACTTCAAAGATGCTGATTACAAGATTGTGTTTATACAAAACTAACACATTAATTACCTGGAGGGCCTTGAAGTGTGCAGAAGGATTGCAAGAGTGGATTATGAAGTCCTCAGTCTTGATAATACTTGGAGCTAGACCTTTTAAGTACCTGGGCACCTACTATGTAGGCATATGCTTTGTGAGGTATTTATTGAGTGTTGAAAGTCCTGCTTGGTGACAGTATTAATTTTTGAGTGCCCCTGTTTCTTTAAAAATCACCTGTCACTTTGTTTTTTTTAGAGTTTGAACTTTAGTGTAACATCTATGAGAAACCTTACGATATTGCCACCCAGACCCTTCTCGATGTTATAATTCATAGCAGGCATAAAGACATAAAGAGCAAAGATTCAAAGCACAAGCACTGTATAAATTTACATATAATATATATAATTACGTACCTCTCTGATTTAGCCATTCCCTGCAAGTGTTTTTCTATGTGGAATATGCTAAGGAGAGCACCTTTGCAAAACTGTAATTTGTGGAGTACACAGCTCACAGCACTTACAAGGGGCACACGCATGCAACAGAACTTTTATATATATGCTTAGATTATGTACACACTTAAATGTGTGGATGACTTGAGTCTGTAATTAAAAGTTTTAATATTAATTTAAGCTTGGTCTTTTAATGAAAAATGTCACCCATGAAACAGCAGTCTCAAAGGAAAAAAAAAAGGCATTTCCCTGTTATTAAAGATCACCTGACTAATTTTATGCATGAAATCCTCTGTACACACATGTGAAACTGCAATATCCAGTGGTCAAAACAAAACATGTCTGGGGAAGAAATAAAATCCTACCTATTTCTGCCCATTTGAACAGGGCAGTCAGTAAAACAGGGATTATATGGGGAAAACTTAAGCTAAAATATATTATTTTTCAGCCTCAGTGACAATTTGTTTGGCTTAGAACTAGCTATTCAGGCTAAGGTATTTGCATTAGGCTGTTCAGGCTGAGGTCACCATTTCTATTCTGCAAGTCACAATACACTCCTGCTCCAGGTCATGCAGGAGAGGAGACTGTAATTACTGCTGTTTATATGAAACAAAAGGCACCTACTGTGGTCTAGTATTTTTGGAGAATTGGATGCTGCTGTCACTGTTGCTGGGGTATCTTGTTTCAAGTGATGAGCTCAATAATCAGTCTTTATGCTTTGCTAGCGCCCGTGAGCGATAGTCTCTAGAATCATAGTCTCTAGAAGAGCTTATAAAAACCCATTGCGTTCTGAAAGGGTCTTACAACAAATCAATTTCTTATACACATCATGAGAGACCATTTAAAACTCATTGGTTTAGGAGCTTTGGAAAACAGCAATGCAAAGACGTCAGTGTTGTGGAAACAAGGTGAACAGGGACACCACCACCACTTCAGCTACAGGAAGGCTGTGATGCCACCAGTCGTTCAAAGGAGAGAGGCAACACCGCATCCCCATGCTGTACATCCTGTGGGCAGTGTGCTGTTAATAACTGCTGTGGCACTTCATGAATTAGTAATAACAGCCAGGGTCGAAGAAGTACAGGCGGGGAGGCACAGTTCCCTGCCTCAAGCCATTTTCCCTGCACAGGACCTCCTTTACGACAAATTTTGACACTTGCACATAATTTCACGTGTATTAAAGGTGACAGGACTTAACCACTACCTACAGAACCAGGTGGGAGTGTAAATGTGATGCCGAAGCAGACATCAAAACAGATTTTTTTCAGTTTACACAGAACTATTTAGCTGCCAAAATCCCTTCATGTCATCCTACTTTCCTCACACAGTAGTCAAACCATGGCTACGCTTTTTTATGCTTAAGATACACTTACACCGCATTACCAGCAGCCACAGGGCTACAGCTGTAGGCGCCACGTTCACTTCACCCTTTTCAGATGCACCTTTGTATTAAAATCCAAGGATTTCAGGTATCACCTCCTTAAAGCCTGCGTAGGAGCCAAGGAAAGCGCCCCACAAACGTCAAGGCTGTTTATATAAACGGAGTTTGTATCAAACCCTAATTTAGGGGAATCAATCCTTCCACCCCTAAGGGGGCCCCTCCGCTGCCGGGCCGGCGCCCCGCCAGCGAACACCCAGACCCGGTGACGGACGCCGGCCTGCAGGCGGCACCGCCCCGGCAGCGGGGGGAAGCGGCGGGGCCCGGCCCGGAAGAGGAGGGCTTTGCACGGCGGTTCCGCGGCGGTTGGCAGTGCCGGGTGAGGGCGAGGCGGCGGTGGGCAGCGGCGGTGGCTGTGCGGGAGGAGGGTGGGGGGGATCCGAGACCCATTGCTCCCTCTCTGCTCTTCCCGCGGCGGGCTCCGGCCGAAACTGCTGCGAAGGGACAGGGCCCCGGCCCGGGCAGCCGGGAGGGGTGTGAGCCCTCACCGTTGCTAGGGTCACTGTTTGCCTTTATGCGGAGGAAGGTAACGGGTTTCCCGTTACTGGCCCCGCAGGATGAACACCGATATTAAAATTACTAATCGTGAGGAGAGCAGCTCCCCTTGCTCTCTGGAGAAGGCTGTAGTGCAATGCGGTGGGTCCCCAGAGCAATGCTATCCTCCCACCCCGACAGAGAGAGTCCCTGGGTTCCTTGGAGGTAGATGACAGTAAAGACTAACGAGGCTAGCCCGTTGCGAAAAATAAAAGGATGAAGTCACTGACATCCTGCAGGAATAACTCCTACACCTGCTTTAGAAAGGTTAATGCTGCGTCATTGGGTGGAAGGGGAAGGCTGGAGGTGGGCTCTGGAGATCACCAGGCACTGAGCTTTCTGAAGCTGACAAAAGGGCCGTTCAGCCTACAGAAAGAATACTGTGTGGTATTAACACATAAACATCCCACTTACCCCAGTCTCAAGCTGCTCAGGGGTACAGCAAGGGGAACTGGGCTTGGCCAGCGAGGTTATATATTGTAGCTC